AAAAAAACAAAAAAAAAAAAAAAAAATTGCGCAGCTGAGATTCGAAGATTAAGTGAGCAAAATCATCATGTGCGCTAGCCCACTCAGCTACCGATAACTTTCTCCTACGTGATACTGAAGCAGTATATAAGTTGTTAGGGAAGGCTTGGGTTAACCATCTGGGGGGAGGCTGGAGTGGGGAAGCTAGAGAGAGAGCTCAGGCGGGGCCTACTTTAAGCAGCGCGCTGCTGTACTGGCGAATGAGCATTAAGCTCTTCTGTGAACGTGCGAATTCGCAGTACCGTCTGGCATCACTGGTGTACAATGTCATTAGAGTAAATAGCTAGAGACTTAGATATAGTATATCAAATTGTGCAAGCCAACTCTAGCCACAGAGCGTAAGCTTTGACGGCAGTACTATATTATGGTGAATTTTTTTTTCTTTCGTAATTGAGAGCAGTAGCACGCATTAAGTCAAGTAAATACGTATTGATATAAAAGCCGACTTTAGCTATCACACGCACTTTCTTCCTTTTTTTTTACACATCAGCAGTTACATCTCAACAGAGGCTATGGTCTACTGACACCTTTTATGTCATCCGTAGCTAGGAGTCATTTATTTATAGCATTAGCCCTTACGTATTTTCCGTGGTAATTTTCTACGTACACCTCAGTAAAATTGTTTCAGAAGGTCTGAAAATCAACTGGACTTGGGTTATAAAACAGATAGTGAACCCTGCCTGCGTGATTTAAAAAAAAAAAACTTGTTTTAATAAAATAACCCCTAAGCAAGCATGAACTTGGAAGAACAATTAAAAAACACTTTCATTAATTGCCACCTTGCTATATGCAAAGAGGTTATTCTGCAAGAAATAATTCTTTTAAATAATTTTTCAGTTTCGGATTTGTGTACGTATGATTTTTTATACGTATGATTTTAATTTATTTTTTCCTTTCCATTAAATGTTAATGTGTACTTTCCTCATTACCACGATTGTTTTGTAGGACTTAGATTGTTTCTGGAAAAACAGTCAATTTTTAATTTTTTCTTAACCACTATACTATTTGTTCTTTTCTATGTACATTATACCAACCCACTTGTTACAAATTGCTCTTTATGACATTTTATTTAAGGAATTTCAAAAAGTTGCTCATGTTGAGAGTAGATACATAGCTTAGATGGAGTACCAACTGCATTGTCATGAAGTAACTATACATCATAAACCGATGGCAAATACGATTGATTGACTATTCGAATGTTATAATTTTTTATGTAACTCTGGCTTCCATCAAAAAGAAACTGTTTGTATTCATACTGATTTTATACATCAATTAAATTTATCTTTGAAGCTTATGTCGATTGCTACTGATTATTGAGCAAATACTGATTACTGATTATTGCAAACGGTAAGCCTGAATCACACTTGTTGGCCCTGCCACACGTCCTCGTCAAAAAGACGAGAACTTGAAAGTTACATAATAATAGACATTTTTGAATTTTAAAACTTGAAAATCTCAACCATTACTCCCAAGTGCCAATAGTAAATTTTTCCCGAATGATTGTAAGCCTTCGTAAATTTACTCTCTTAGTAAGAAAATTTGTTTTAAAAAATTTTTTCTGTCTTTTTCGTCAAAGACTACTTTAATAAACAGTTGTATTGAATTTCACAAACATGTTATTTTAGTCCTTGGAATCGCAAGAGAATTAAATAAGTCTGAAGTACACTACATTTTTTCAGAAGTGCTGTAAATAGAAGTTATTATTTTACACAGAAACAACAAATAAAAAAAAGCTAATAGTGGTCTGGAAAACAGATAGTTTTATGCGCTGGAGACCGTTAGGTCATATTTTGAATACTCTGAATTTGAAAGTGTTTGTAATTCTATAACTGAAAAAGTTTAGTGTGAAAACATATTACATAAGCTTATCACACAATGACTTACAAAATAAAGAAACCATTAAACTTTAGTACTATCAAGATTTCGATGAAGAGGTAGTTTACAGCCAGATTGACCATTACCCTTGTCATGGGTCATAGGTTCGTACACTACTTTTCTCTCCTTCTAGGGAATAAATGGCACATGTTAAATTAAGGATAAATTTTAAGAAACAATACAATTCTTAAAAAACCTTATGATGATAACAAAACTTTTCAATACCACAACATTTCTATGTCTGACAAATAAGAAGCCTTTGGCGAAGATGTCATTGGTAGCTGGATAATTTCTGCTGATAGGCCAATAGTTCGTACAAACCTCTTCTCCTAAAATATAAGTGACAAGGTTTTAATACCAGTGTAATGCGATCTTACGTGAAACTTGCGTCTGAGCTTAAGAACTACTATAAAATCACTGCAGTCCATAACATTCTTTGTATAGGCTGCCTATCACAACCAAAAGCCAAAATGGTAACACGTTTGGGTGATAAGGATAACTCAATTTATTTTACGTCATAATGAAAGAGTTAATTATGACATGAATGAAATCAAAATGTAAATTCTATCCTTCTTAGCTGACAATAAAACAAGTTGTAACCAGGTCCTATCCTTCTAGAAAAAAAAAAAACTTTTCAAATGCTTAACTTCTTTAAAGTAGAGAAAATAGCTAAAACAAATTGATTTTTAAAGTAGGAAAGTATTTTTATCACCTACATTTGGGACTATTAATCAGCCATCCATCACCATATTTTCCTGCATGTTACTTGATTAATTCTGATAATGTTTAACTTGACTTTTTCATTTGCTTTGATAATTATGCACTCAAAGAAAAATGGAAGTTTGAGACTTCAAACTTTCTGGTTGCAAACACATTCAATGGCATCGAGGTGTTGTACTACAACGTTTGATAACATCTCGTTCAATATTAGAAAAGTAGTCGTTCAATGATGTTGGTGGTGCTTCGCTTCCAAGTTAGAAGTTAGGTATGACCAACTTGGAGTGCCCAGTGCTCAAACAATATTGAACGCTATGAGTCCCACGGTGAGAGTGCAAAAGCTTGATGTTGGGCGCTTTCAGCTCCTAACATCGAGCTTCAAGAGTTCAACTACTTTGCACACCATGTAGTTTCGTATTTAAACCATATATATATATTAGTCCTATTTTTAACTTGCAAGACTTTAGATATAAGAATCATGGTTTGTATCAATTATTTTATTGTATAATGTAACACTGCAGCTGAGAGCTACGAAAGAGCAGAACTGCTGCACTTCCCACGACATCGGCTTTCTACGCCGTTTGCATGGTAAGCGGCCCTGTCCACAAAATAAACAATATTTTAGATGCTTTTTCTAGAATTTTATCGGATGATTTTGCCAATTATTTTCCAATAAGTTTGTAGATTAAGCCCTTCTGAACACATACAATTCAATACAATTCAACGGAAAATTATTGACATGAATAAGTATAATAGATAAAACTTACACTCTTGGCAATATAATTATCACAGATGTAATAGATAAGGGTCCAGTTTTTAAAAAAATTATTAAAACTTACGAGATAAAGGGTCAATTGTTTTTTATTGTTCGTGATGTACATAGCATATGCTTTGAAAGTATATTCTACGCGTATAAAATTTTTATAGATGAAAGTGAAACTAGCGTGTACTCTGCTGAAGATATACATCCTATAGGGCCATGTCTGGTGACATAGATAAACAAAGATTTGTATATATCTACTAAGTATAATGTAAGACACGTTGACATTGATTACTTACTTATAATGAAATAATATATAATGAAAGAACTGTAAGTACTTTGTACCCGTATAAATAACAAGGCGTTAAAACACTATGTTGTATTGTCATTTTTTAAAATTGAAGTAAAAAGCTTTTGCATGCATTCTATTAACAAAGATAAATTTGGGGTTATTGGATATATATACATAACTGATATTTATAATAAACCTAATAACCTAATCCTATAAATTAATAATCTTTTTGTACAATTAAATTTTACATTACTTGTCTTAAGTCTAACATGGAACTACTATATACAGTTTGAATACTGCAGTACTGCAGTATATCTGATATGAGCTACACGGCGTGCAAGGTAGTTAAACTCTTAAAGCTCGATGTTGGGAGCTGAAAGTGCCCAACATCGAGCTTCTGAACTCCCACCGTGGGACTCATAGCGTTCAATATTGTTTGAGCGCTGGGCACTCCAAGTTGGTCATACCTAACTTCTAACTTGAAAGCGAAGCACCACCAACATCATTGAACGACTACGTTTCTAATATTGAACGAGGTACAGTCAAATGTGGTAGTGAGAGTGTTCAATAGTTATCGTAAGATGAGAGTACCACAAGTTTGAGGTCTGACACTTCCATTTTTTTTGAGTGTGGCTATGCTGGATAAATAAAAAATATAGGAACAAAGTATCAAGTACACCAAATTGATGTTTTAATTCTTATAGCTGTAAAAACTTATTAAGTGACTGTTTGAAAAGCTTAAGCTTCCTAATATTTCCATTTTAATTAGACACATTCCGTAGGAACAAACGTAGGAGGAAATTCCCCATTAAATAAAATTTTTTCGTCTCTTATTAGGTAGATGAAATCTATAAGCTGATATAACTAAAATGAATCAACATTTTTATATTCCTTGCAATAAAAAAGTCTTTAACAAAAATTCTAACGGACAATGAATCTAGGACACTAACATACACATTTTTTAAAAGTTTTACTTATCTTAATGCCTCAGAAAATTTTAATCCACCTTGACACTACATGAACTTTAAATTAAGAAAGTTTTATTAAAATCAATGTTGATTAAATTCCCTTTAAGTTATTAGTCCAAAATTGCTGAGTTCACTTGAATAAAATTGACTTCACTTGAGCTTTCTTAATTTTATCACGTAGTAGTTTTAATAAGAAAACTTCCTCGATATGTTGAGTGCTTAGCAGTTACTTCTACCCAATAGATTCAAGTGATTAAGCCATAATAAATAACTTTTTTACAATAAGTATTTGCAAATATTTTTTAAAATCTCTGATTCTTTCCTTAGGTATGGCGAGAGTTTCCAGATAGAATAGTTGGGTTTCCTTCTAGAACTCATGCATGGGATAATAAAACACTTTGCTGGAAATATGAAAGTGAGTGGACGAATCATATTTCCTTGGTTTTGACTGGAGCAGCATTTTATCATAAGGTAAGAGTAAATATCATTCAATTATAACTATTATTTCTAAGGTTAAGGCTACTTAGAAAATAAATATGATCTGCTGATCCTACTTATACAGACTCTAGCCATGTGTGGACACTAAGGTGTCCGTTATTTAGTGAACTAAACATTTTTTCACAGTCACACCTCAAATCACTTTGTTATATCTTGAAACTTAAATATCAACCATAAATAGTAAAAATATTAAAAATTAAATTGTGTTCAAACGCAAATCGATTTTTTATCTAACTAGCATGCAAGTTTTTTAATGTTAATTAGTATCAATTTTTTTAGCGTCTTAAATATTTTGTTAGCATTTTTAAGTCACAAAGTTGTTTTATGTATCATCAGAACTGTGTTTAAAAAAATCATGTAGCTCGAAAAACTTAGAAAAAAAATTTTGACAGCTAATACATGTGAATAAATTGACAAAAATTGACATTTTTGCCCTTATTTAATAATTCCAACAATCTTATGATACTGCAAGTGCATGATTGCTGCTCGAATCAAAACTCTCAAATAAGATATTTTTTTTTTAATAACGTAAAGTTATCTACCACATTAATTGATTCATTAATTAAGGATTGGTTGATCAGACAATAATTATAGGGCATCAAACATGTGACACAGTAGGTGCATGAGAACTCAAATCGAAAAGTTTAAGAATCTAAAAACTTCAGATAAATTTTTAATATTGTAACTATTGATGGTTAATATCTTAGTTTTAGGACATAATAAAGTTATTTGAGGTGTGCAAGTAAAAAAGTTCTTCATTTGGGAAACAACGGACACCCTAGGGGACACTCATGCTCTGCAAACTCTTAGCTTGGAGTCATGTACTCTTTTGATACGTGCTGCAGCTGCTTGTAACTATAGAAATGTGATGAGGGCACATGCGACAACAATATTTGGAATATTCATACACAGTTGACTTACTTAGCAATACATTATTGAAATATAAACTCATATTCAGTACTAAAACTTACGAGGTCAAGTTTATGTATGTGAAAAAATACTAGCCAAAGATAATCTACATACTGACATAACAGGCAAACTATGTGAACTACAAATTAAATTAAACGAACGTAAACTTAGTGATGTACTGACAGTATTTGGTTTTTTGAGTACAACGTATTGAAGTTTTCACGATACAGCCTGATGCCCTAACGACTTACAGAGTCCCGATAACTGGTAGGCGTTTCTACTAGTCAAAACCTTTGCCCTGTAGTCTTATAGTTCTCTAGCTTAGTTTTCTTACGTTATCGAGTCAAGGAGTTAAGAACGCTCCTGTCCCTAATTTCGACGTATGCACCCTAGCTTCGGTTCTTCTCTTGACTTACCACGATGTTCCCTTCAATAACCAAAACAACGAAAGAAGCGCATACCTTTCATAAAAAAATATTTCACATGCGTTCACAGACTCAATCAAGTGAGCCTACCTTCTTCTGCTTCTACTTTTGTCTGCTATTCACCATCCTCTAATGTTAACCTTTTTTTTTGCTTTTCTCGAACAGCAAGAGTATAACAGCCATGCTATTATTCTATGTTATAGCTGACGATTTATTTATTTTTAATTAATAGCAATTGCTTTCAGCAATTCATATAGTTAATCTGGATCCTAAGAAGTGCCCAAGTTCTGATAATTTTTTCTTTTATTAGAGTTCATAGAAATACTTTATAATTAAAAAAAGAGTTTGAAATAAAAAAACTACGAATGGTTTTTTTCATGCTTCATAGCTTAGTCAGGTGAATTATCATATCATAATTTGATGTCAAGTTAATATCATATGTTCTGATGTAAGGTATTAACGAATTCTCGTTATTACTCTAGATATTGTAAATATATTGCGATTTGCTAAATAGGAAGCTGATCAGTAAAAAGCAAGGCATAAGTTAATTAGTAAATCACAAAATATTATACATTATCGACTGAGCTACAGCTACGGGTTTTTTCTGGCTTAGCCGTCTGCTCCTCTGCCTGTCTGTTGTTACTACTTAACAATACATAAGGGATATCCAAAGTATTGTTTTAGTTATAAAAACAAACTTGTTTAATTAGTTGAAAACTTTTGATGATGATCGGTTAAAATGTCTTCAAACACTCACAGG